ATGTAAAAGACAAAAGACCACGACGTTTCGGAGACTGGATCTGTCTCCGTCTTCAGGTGGGTAGGGAAGGATAAACCTACTTCTGAAGACGGAGACAGATCCAGTCTCCGAAACGTCGTGGTCTTTTGTCTTTTACATACCGGACGATGGATGAAGTCCAAAATAAGCCAAAAGAAGTACAGTACGAGTATACACCATCGTCAGAATCCTTTCAAGTGTACCTACATTTGCCTACAATTCTGGGGAACAATAGCTACCATTCAAGTTAGAAATTTATATCGTTGTCTCCTATTTAAGAATATACAGATTAAAATATCTTGTAACTTGTATTCTTTTCCAAGTATAATTAGAATGATCAAGTTAAGGAGGTTGAGGTGAGCAGGGCATGTAACACGAATTGGGGAGACGAGGAATGCATGTAGGATATTGGTGGGAAAGCCAGAAGGATGTTTCCTTTTGGCTTTCCCACCAATATCCTACATGCATTCCTGGGAACACCAAGGCGTAGGTGGGTGGATAATATTAAAATTGATTTAGAGAGATATAATGTGATGACAGGGATTGAGCTGGCTCAGTATAGGGACCAGTGGAGTGCTCTTGTGCACGGTAATGAACCTTAGGGTTCCATAAAATGCTGGGAAATTCTTGAGTAGCTGCAGAATTGGCGGCTCCTCCAGAATGGCTCAGCTCCATGAGTAAGTAAGTAAGTAAGTAAGTAAGTATGCTATTCTGTTACAATCTGAGCAGGATTTATCCTTGGCATATTATAGACCTGAGAAGATGTTGCCCTTCAGAGCGGTGGTATTGACTTTGCTTAACACGGCCGTGACTCCACGAGAAGTTTCACCACGAGAAATGTAAACACTTGGGGGTCCCCGGTCTCTTCACACCAGTGAACATAACCAAGCACCAGACGCAACAACCAGTCCTCTGTAACCGGTTTAGTCAAACAAGTCACGATTGAACTTTCTGTGCCTTTCTATCACTTAAAAGCAGTTACGATATACTGTTCAACATTTGCTACTAACTTGGAATATGTGATCTTCAGGGTTTCAGTCTTAATTAGGGAAGACTGCGGTTCGACTCTCACACCCCTTGCTTGTTCTTGTGATGTATCACTAAGGTTTTCTGCATTATACATGGCCGGCTGTTCTAAGTGAACAATTTATTCCCGATTTCAGGTACAGTCTTTTGTATTTAAGAGGATTTCAAATATAAGTTTTCAGATTCGATATTTTAAAAGAGTATTATACCGTCAAAAGGTCTCTTAATATGAATATAAAACAAACAAAAACGTTGAAATTTGTTCATGAATCCAACCCATATTAGGGTTACTGTTACATAGACACGTCTCAGAAAACGCGAACACAAAATCAGCAAGTCATGCGCGTAAACAGACGTTCAGAAGTGTTGGCAAGTATTTCCTTTTACATAATGAACAAGAGATATTGAACGGTTATTACAATTCGAAATATTCAAAACCAAATAGCTGAAGATTAGAAAATATACAGGTAGTTTTATATAATCTTTTAAAATAAGCACCCAGTCACATAAAATACTTGAACTACCTGTCATTTTGTTAGGCAGGCTTAGTCTTCCAACCAAAGAAAAAACATGACTTTAGGATACATGATGTAACTCCGTCCTAAGTGCAAACTATATTTATAGGTCTTTTGTTTTGTTCTTCTTTATACACTAAATATTTCGGCCCCAAACGGCCATCATCAGGTGTATACACTCACGTATCTGTTACACTGTACTTATTTATAACATTTAAAATTTAAAAACATAGGTCTTCCTGATTAGCACTTATAAAATATTCGGTTCTAATTTTAAATCCTTTAAAAAATTTTCTCTAAATTTTAAAATTTAAAAATGTCAGGGTCACTCGTCCTATGTCTATAGTGCTGCAGCGGCTTCTTCTTGTTTCTAGTACTGTATAGGTGTTATCTGTGTAGTCTCCTTGTGTGCAAAAGACCTATAAATATCGTTTGCACTTAGGACGGAGTTACATGATATATCGCATAAAGTGCAACAGGATGCTTAAATATAATATTATGACTTTAGGGTTCATGAGGCCGATACATAGAGAATATATTTAAGTACGAGAGAGGAAGTTGCAAGATAATGGAGAACATTACATAACGAGGAGACATATAATTTGTACCCTCCACGAAATATATTTAGGATGGTGAAATCAAGGGCGATGAGATGGGCAGAACATGAAGCAGGCATGGGGAACGTAAGAAACTCGTAAACAGCTTAATTGAAATATCTGATGGAAAGAGACAAACCAGAAGACATAGGAATGAAGTAGAGGACAATATTAAAACTGATTTCAAGGAACAGGATAAAAAAAACGTGAGCTGGATTATAGTAAAAAAAATCCGTCTTCTGGGATATAACGGAGTATAATCTGTTCAAACTCAACGGACGTTTCGGAGGAACATATCGCCTACATCTTTAGGGTCGAAGAATAAGCCAAGAAAGAAAGAAGCCTGAAAGCAGGTGTCAATATCTGCTGGTTTCTTGTTTGACTGATACCTCTTCCCTGAAGATGAAGGCGACATGTTACTCCGAAACGTCCTTTGGCTCTCAATGGACCACACAGCTTTATATCCCAAAAGACAGAACTCTTCATAACCACCGCTCTGAGAACCTCAAAGCCTATATAGACTAAAGTTAAAAAAGAAAAGAGTCTGGTGGAATGTTTTCAACAGGGTAGTGAATTAGCTTCTGGATTTTATAAAAATAGAATTTTTTTGACCAACTTAGCAACTGTAAGCTTCCGAAGAACTATGATCCATGTAGTGAGCCATGAGTTACGAATGCAGATTTTCTTCTGATATGAATATGCTCGGAGCGCTTTATTTGCAGACTTGTTATGCCACAAATTTGTCAGCAGGTTTGCTTCGTAATCATGGCATCCGCCCTGGCAGTGGCCGCGGAGGAGAAGACTAAGGAAACCTCGGTGGAGGACAAGAAGACTGACGGCAAAACAGGCAAGAGAGGGATCTTCGATTTCGGGTACGGTCATGGTTGGGGACTTGCCCAAGGACACGGTCTGTCCCTTGGTAGCTTCGGCAGCTTCGGCGGCTTCGGAGGCTTCGATCACGTGGGAGGAGCTGGAGGTTTCGAGCACCTGACCTTGCCAGAGCAACATGAAGAGAAGCATGAGGAGCACATCAAGGCCATCACCATCACGAAGGAGGTCAAAGTCCCGGTGCCTCAACCCTACCCAGTTCATGTCGAGAAGAAAGTTCCCTATCCGGTCAAGGTCCCTGTTGAGGTTAAGGTGGAGAAGCCTTATCCTGTACATGTCCCAAAGCCCTACCCTGTTTACATCGAGAAGAAAGTGCCCTATCCCGTCGAGAAGAAAGTGCCGTACCCCGTCAAAGTCGAGGTTAAAGTGCCCGTTCCTGTCCCTCACCCAGTTCACGTCCCTAAGCCCTATCCTGTCAAGGTCCCTGTCCCTAAGCCATACCCAGTCAAGGTCCCAGTCTACATCGAGAAGAAAATCCCCATATACATCAAGGAGCATCATCACGATCATCATCACGGTGGCGATAGCTTCGAGGGGTACCCATGAAATTCACGGTGCCCTCCAAGCATTGCGCAATGCGCTAGTCATTTTGTTGGTTAAATCGTCATTTTCTTCTCAGAGTAGAGGAAAATTGACGTGAAAATTAAGGCAATGTTGTTGAATTTCGAAGATTACTGTTATCTGGGATACAATTCAGTGTCCTCTGTAATCTTACATTCATCAATTTCTGCTCGAAGCGACAAGCCATACTTCATCTTCATATAGTCAATAAATAATATTCATATATCACTATATATGTAATTGTTAGTTCCTCTACTGTCACTCTCAAATTTGGATCTTTTTTGTGCCGTTTTTTATATTGTTAATAAATATAGTTATGTTCAACGTAACATTTCTCGAGCGATTCGTCAAATCTCCCATCCATTAAAATTCTTTTTCCCTTCCTTAGCCTCGCTTCGGACTCGAAGAAGTGCCGATGAATATAAAGTGTTTTATATAAGAAATACAAATATGAACAAATAATAACGGGGATTTCATCTCCATATTCCGTTCATTTAAAATTTATCCATGAGATCCTTTCTATTAAACCTGATTGTAGGTGCATAAGGTAAACGTAACAGGTAAAGGTAGCACTATGCCACAAAGGCGTATGGGGGAGTGGATGTATAGATCCACATTTTATTTACCTCGACACTAACGTGTTGTGAGTGGTTAACTTCACTCCCCGGCCGCTTTACTCCCTGGGAGACGTGACGTCTTTAGTGACGTGGTGAGTCCCTTCCCCAGTGGGAGGTTCCTCATTAGTTTTCTTTAGGTCAGCTGGCCAGTGTCTTCGGAGTCTTCGATTGTGCTGCGGTTCAAAGAGTGGCTGTACTATGTCGTTCGGGAGATTTGCTAGTTTGTTGTGGTGTGAGGTACTTTTTTCTCTGATGACGTCTTTGTATGGTATATTTAGGTCTGTATGTAACGTTTGGTTGTTTACATACCAGGGTGCATTTGTTATAATTCGAAGTTTTTTGATTGGCTTCTCTGGATTATTGATATATTTGATTTGCTGGCACAACCCCAGAGCTCAATTCCGTAAGCCCAGATTGGTTTGATTATTGTCTTATAAAGCAGGACTTTGTTTTCTATGGATAGGTTGGATCTTCTTCCAATTAACCAGTTTAGCTCCTCGGTTTTTAAGTCTATTCTATACCTAGAAGACCTATTCTAGGTCTTCCAGGTAACGGAGGATAACCCATTAGTGGATGGTACTCCCTACAAGCCACGCAACGCTCTAACAATTGGTTATTACGCTGTATTAGTACATTATGAGTAGATTGTAAATATCCTAAAATAACAAACTTTCGGTTTCATTATATTCCATAGGCCTGGTATCGTACATTAGGATATGATCCGCATGTGGCATGAAGAAATGCAGGACAGCTCACAATTATCGACAATATTGTAGGTCAAATTTCGGTCAGCCTATCTCCATGAACTTCTCCGTTCACTTCGGCTTTTCTAGATCTTACACATTCGATAGGACTCCTTGGGCGGGTGATCAGCTCGTCGCAAAACCTCTATCTGTACACAAAAACACAGAAAAACGCACACACACAAACTAAACATCCATGCCCTGAGTGGGATTAGAACCCACGATCCCGGTTTCCAAGCGAGCGAAGACAGTACATGCCTTAGACCGCTCGGCTACCGTGACCGGCAATATGGCCCTTTACTATTATCAAATTTTAACGATCCAAAGTGAAGGGCTGATGAATTTAGAGAAACATGAAGACAGGAGTTCAATGGCGTCTGCCTCCGATCAATTCAAAACGCCCAAGTTTCTGAAGACTGGTCTCCTGCGGGAGCATCGCTTCATCCCCCGTGAAGGATTTGAATCGACGGCCTCCCTCAGACAAGAATTCATTTCCTATTGGCTGCTTTTAACTAGCCAAATTCATCATGAAATCAGCACAAGCCAATCACATAACGACCTTTGAGAATAAAACAGTTCCCACTCGGAACCCCGCATGTGAGAGCGGTTATTTCTTTAGTTAGGGTCCAGCTGCACCCTTCCGAAGACACTTTATGACAGCTACACATGTCAACAAAACAGAATTCACATCTTCTGCAAACTGCAGACTTGCCTCCCGTGGTGACCTTGTCCCCTTCCGGCCATCCAAACTGCATGTAAACAAAAACAGGGCAGTTATTTTCTGTCCAGATACGAAAAACAAGTCATAACATGCTACTAAATCGGTCTCGCCAATAAACCAGTCACCCTTCCGAAATGGCTAGAGAGGTCCATTACGTCCATGGAGAACTGTAACACGTTTGGGCTGCTACAGTTGTTAAAGTCAGCTGCTGGATTCCTGAATAGAGGTCATAAGAATGAAGCGGGAAGAGGGGACCTCCGTGTGCAAGCCTTACAACGTGAAGCTGTTAACGGACGTGGAAGGAATTCTACATCTCGACATCAAACGGATGAGAATGAACAATTTCACCCTGTGGCCGCTTAATCCCATTAGTTATTCAGTATTATGGGGCACGCGGTAGGGTAGTTGGTTGAGGCACTATGCTACAACCGGAAGGTCGTGGGTTCGAATCCCGATGAGGTGGATTCTTTTTCAATTTAACTAATCCTTCCAGCCGCACTATCGTCCTGGTGTCGACTCAGCCTCTAACAGAAATGAGTACCAGGAATTAATTAAATAATTTTCCTGGGGGGTAAAACGCGACCGGCGCGAAAGGCTGACAACCTCACCGCCATCTGTGAACCGATTGTCTACACAAAATGTGGGAGCCTCGACGTCTCACAACCTTTTGGACCTTCACGGCCTGTCACAGGGATAACTTTACCTTTTATAAGGCCAGATACATTTCAGTTCCCGGTATACGTGCAGAATTGCTGAAGAGAAACGTAACTGCCAATGAAGAATATCAGACTCCATAACCAAGCTACTTTACCGACTAAGCTGTTGAATCAGTCTCAGCAATGGGGCATTCTGGTGAAAATTTCATGTACGAAGCTTCTTTCTTATGTAGTAGGACTGAGTAAATGTCTCATTCTTGTACTCTTGTTTCTAATTGAAGAACAAGGGGAGGAGTGGTTTTGCAAGTTACAGTGAAGGGACAAGCGGTAACAGTTACTTCTTTCGTACAGAGGCGCGGTCATGAAACAAATACGTTCTATTAACTGGGCATCGGCATCTAATGAAGGCCAACAAAAGGAAACTACACAAAGCTCAGACATGTCCCCACAGTCATGGGAAGCAGACAACACTGACAGCGGCGCCATAACTACTGTTAATGTAAATGAGTTTGTTTCATGAAACGTAAATTTAAATTAGGGATCTCCATATCGAAGCATCTTTACAATAAAGTATGGGGTAAGTGTACGATTATGGATTGGCCGGTCACGGTAGCCGAGCGATCTAAGGCATGTACACTGTCTTCGCTCGCTTGGAAACTGGGATAGTGGGATCGAATCCTAGTCAGGGCATGGATGTTTAGTTTGTGTGTATGCGTTTTTCTGTGTTTGTGTACAGGTAGAGGCCTTGCGACGAGCTGATCACCCGCCCAAGGAGTCCTACCGAATGTGTAAGATCTAGAAAAGCCGAAGTGAACGGAGACGTTCATGGAGGTACGCCTAGGCCCACTGGGGCTGTAGTGCCACGGAAAAAAGTGTATGGATTAGTGTAATTACCTGCCAGTTTAAAATTACTGTAATCTATTCTTAAGCAGACGTATTGAAAACCAGAAACCCTGTTCATTTTAGAGAGTTTGGGTGAAAGTTACGGATAATTTCTTTCAGTTGACGGACGCTGTTAATATCGAGGACATGTAGAGTCGGATGATCGGATGAATTTATTTGGATCTGGAAGGAACCGGCCATGAACTAACTGGGATACTATCCTGTAATTTATATTGAGGGATTGAGAAAGACCATGAAAACTTCAGTCTAGTCGGTGTCCAGATCGAAATTCGACTGAGAACATCCCTATTCATTCCTATCCAGAATGGTCTAAAACAAGGAGATGCTTTATCGCCATTCCTTTTCAACTTTGCCTTAGAATATGAAATTAGGAAGGTCCAGGAAAACCAGGTGGGACTGAAATTAAACGGGACACGTCAGNATACCAAGTCAAAACCTAATTCGGGAGGAAATTAAGAGGAGACTAAACTCGGGTATTGCTTGCTACCAATCAGTCCAGAACCTTTTGTCTTCTCGTCTGCTGTCCAAAAACGTAAGGATCAGAATATACAAAACTATAATTTTGCCTGTGGTTCTGTGTGGGTGTGAAACTTGGTCTCTGACATTAAGGGAGGAACATAGACTGAGGGTGTTTGAGAACAAGGTGTTGAGAATATTTTTGGACCGAAGAGGGATGAAGTGACAGGATGTTGGATAAAACTGCATAATTAGAAGCTTCATAACTTGTACTCTTCTCCAAGTATAATTAGAATGATCAAGTCAAGGAGGATGAGGTGAGCAGCTCATGTAGCACGAATAGGGGAGACGAGGAATGCGTATAGGATATTGGTGGGAAAGCCAGAAGGAAAGAGACCACAGGGAAGACCAAGGCGTGGGTGGGTGGACAATATTAGAATGAATCTTAGTTGGATAGGATGGGATGGTAAGGATTGGATAGATCTGGCTGAGGATAGGCACCAGTGGAGGGCTCTTGTGAACACGGTAATGAACCTTCGGGTTCCATAAAGTGCTGGAAAATTCTTGAGTAGCTGCAGAACTGGCGACTCCTCCAGGAGGGCTCAGCTGCATGAGTAAGTAAGTAAGTACAATTAATTTTGTAAAAGTTTTATACGTATGTATATTTTATACGAAAGCAATGTACAGTCCGTCCGATACCCGCTCACGTTCTACTACACGCCGGGCTAGGGGCAAGCAGTCTCTGGATGACATCTTACACCACCCAGGGAGGCAGCTCTATTCACATATACCACCGTGTTTCACAAGATTTTATTTTTACTGTAAAGAAGTAAAGTATTATAAAAAATTTGTAATTTTTTGTAGCTGCTTTTGGGGGAGGGAGGGTTAA